CGCGCGGACCCGCTCCACCGGCCTGGGGCGCCAGCGAAGGACCGGCGCGGGAGAGCCTCCCGACTCCGCGGGGCGGTGTGCATGCTCAGGCTGTAAAATGGGACGGAAGAGGGAGGGAGGGATTTTCCCCAGGACCTGCCCGGCTTTTGTCCTCGGTGAATGGGGACTGGCGGGGAGGGCGTGGCAGCGCATGCCTGTGAGCCCAGCACTCTGGGAGGCTGAGGCAGGAGGATTCAAAGTTGAACCTTGCTAGACCTTGTCTCAAAATAAAAAATGTGCTGGGCATGTAACCTAGTTGCAAAGATCCCGGGTTCAATTCCCCGGTAGTAAAAAAAAAAAAAAAGGAATGGAGGGAGGGAGGAAAAGGACAGAAATGGCTCCAGTCTCTGTGTAAAGCCACCCTGTGCTCCTGGCTGGGCCGCCTGGGCTCCCTCCCATCTCACCAGGGAAAATGAGGCGCCCGGGCTGGGGCTGCAGCTCATGGTATGACGTGATGAGCATACAGAGTCCCTGGTCCCTCCTCAGCACCTGCCCAAAGTGAGAGAGGCAGGAGGATCACAAGTTCGAGTCAGAACTGGCAGCAGTTTTAGGCTGTCTACACTAATCAGTAGGGAATCTGAGGATAGGAGAGCGGACACACACCTGTAATCCCAGCACTTGGGAGGTAGAAGCAGGAGGACCGCCATGCGGTCAAGGCCACCCTGGGTTGCCTAGTGAGTTCGAGGCCAGCCTGGACCACGCAGCAAGATCCTGTCTCAAAAAACAAAATAAACAAAGAATGGAGGCTGTCAGTCAACCTCTGTGGACTCTGGTTCTTCGGGTCACCTGTGGAGATGGTGCTTTACAGAGAAAGAAACTGAGACACAGCCAACAGGGTCTGGGCTGCAGAGGAAGCTGCTGCCGGGACCAGCGAGTCTAAAGCCTGAGCGCCCCAGGCTTAGCAGGCGGCTGTGTTGGGCCAGGATTCAAAGACCTGGCTCTGTGGGCCTTAAATCGATATCCTGTGGGCTGAGGGTGCAGCTGTGTGGTGAGTGCTTGCCTATCACACATGAGGCCCAGGCTTCCATTCCCAGCATCACAAACAACAAAAGGTAGGCTCGGCACTGTGGGAGGCTGAAGCAGGAGGATCCCAAGTTCACAAGTTCGAGTTCCACCTGGCCACTTAGCGAGACCCTGTCTCATGATAAAAAATCAAAAGGGCTGGGGATAGAACTCGGTTTGGAGCGCCTGGGTCTAATCCCCAGAATCACGGAAAAGAACAATAAAAATAAATAAATAAAAGTTTGTTTTAGGTAACCTGCTATTTAGGACAAGAAGGAGCATTTTCTAAAGAGGATGCTGCCATCAAGTCTCCCACTTACTTGTTTGCTTATTTTTAAATTAGTTTTTGTTTTGTTTTCAGGTTTGGTATTGATTTTATTTAATTTATTTTGGAGACAAGGTCTCACTGAGTAGTCCAGGCTGGACTCACACTCTCAGCGATTCTCCTGCCCCAGCCTCCGAGGTAGAATTCCGGGCCTGCGCCACCACGCCCCGCCCCGCTCCCGTTTACTTATTTATCTGTCTTTGTCTTTTTAGTGCTGGGGTCTCCAGCACGCTAGGCAAGCTCTGCAGCCCTGAGTTGTGACCAGCCCCCAAACTTCCGTCTTACCTGATGAATTCCACCTGCAAAAATGAGGAAGATTAAAGAGAATGCCATGCATAGTTGTTAAAGTCACCAAGGACAGAATTCCCTGCAGCATGATTCTGGGGTGGTTGTGGCCTTGCTGCGTCCCAGCCCAAGGCTGCCACCTCAGCCAGGAGGAAGGGAGGGGACCTCGCCAACGAAGGGCCAGAGTGGACTTTTTTTTTGCAGTACAGGGGATTGAACCCCAGCAGAGCTTTTGCACCTAGCAGCCTCCCAGTCATTAAAAAAATTTTTTTTTCCTCATTGAGTTTATTGGTACATTTAGGTAGACAGTACAGTTACATTCATTACTGGGATCTCGTACCTTTACGTGACAGGTCTTGGTTCTCATTTTTTCCCCTTCTCCCTGCCCTCCCTTCACCCCTCCTCCCTGCCCCCTTCACAAACACTTCATTTCCATTTTGTCATTTTCTCGTATTTAAAAAAATTTTTTTTAAACAACAGGTTCTCACTATGTAGCCCCAGCTGGCTTCAAACTTGCCGTGAGCCTCCCACCTCAGCCTCCCAAGTGCTGGGATTAAAGGCGTGCACCACCATGCCCAGCTTTAATTTTTTATTCTGAGAAAGGGTCTCAAGCAATAACTAAATTGCCAGGTTGGGCTTGCACTTTTGACCGTCCTGCTTCAGCTTCCTGGAGTGCGGGGGTGACAGGTGTGTGCTGGCTTTGCTCTTACGGCTGGAGGGAGCAGCAGTGCGCTTGTGGGACTCATCTAATTAGGCTATCAGGAAACACCATCAACCCTGGCCAGAGACCGGGGTTATTTATAAAGACTCAGCGATCACAAGGCTGGTGTGCATCCTCCTGCCAAGTAGAAGCCACCGAGTTTACCACCTCCCTTTTGTCACTCCTCCAACCCTGCTCCCTTCTCTCCCTCTATCCCTTCTTCCTTTTTTCTTTTTCTTGAACCAAGGATCAAACTTGAAGATTGAACTCGGGACCTTGCACTTGCAAGGCAGGTGGTGGCACCACTGAGCTAAACCCCTGGCTAACCCTTCTTTTCTTTCTGTGTTGTCCATGGATCCATGGGCTTCTCCCATGCTAGGTAAGAGCTTTACCACTAAGCTACAATCCTAGCTCTGTTCTAAATTTTAAGACAGGATCTTGCTAAGTTGCTAATTTGGAATCCTCCTGCCTCAGCCTCCTGAGTAGCTGGGATTACGGATGTGCACCGCCTTGCTGAGCTGATTTTGATCTCTTTCTGCTGACAGCTGGGCACCCCTCTCCATGGACATGCAGGTCACATGACACACATGTGCCACATCAGTCCGGGACAGGAGAATCTCAGCTTCATCCCTACATCAGCAAGTCCAAATAGACCTGGAGTCCCCACGTTTCCTGTTCCAGACCACCCTGGCTTCATCCTATGCTGTCCCAACCCAGTGCTCTGGCTCCCAGCCCCCTTTCTCCCTGTATGCCCTGAATCAGGACACATATGTCCCCAGCTGAAGAACCCTCCATGGCTCCCAGTCATTCACAGCAAAACCCCATGTCTTCCCTGTGGCCTTATGGCCCTGCACATCATGCCCTGTCACTGTCCTAACCTTGTTTCTCCTCTCTCTCCCCCTTACCCCACAGCTTAAGTGTTCCTTGCAGAAAACATGAGACACAGTACCCCAGGCACACCTGTGCCTTTGCACAGGTGGTTGCCTCTGCCTGAATCCCTCTAACTCCTAAGACACTAATAGTTTCCTCTCTCCGCTCTTTCAGGTTCATGCTCAGATACCCCTTGATCCACCCCTTCATGCAAAATGTAAGATATCACCCTGGTCACCCCAACCTTCCTGTTTTTTAAATTAAAAGAGTTTTTTTGACACAGTGTCTCACTATGTAATCCAGGCCAGCCTTGAACTCATTATGTAGCCCAGGCCGGCCTCAGCCTCCTGAGGGCCGGGATCATAGGCGTTCTCCAGCATGCCTGGCTTCAGCTGCTGCCTTAATCACTGTCTTGGGACTGGCTCTGTGAGGGAGGCAATTGGCATCCAGGCATGGTCACTCTTGCCCGGGGGACACGGCCTCACCATGGTAACCTCAGCTGGGAGATCTGTTCCTGGAGGCTCTGGAAGCAGAAGTGACCACACGTTTCGGGCAGTGGCTGCAGAGGCCCAGTGAGGGCCTGGGACAGCGTGTAACCGAGCCAGCAAGCAGTGTCCCTGCGGATCCTGAACATGGACTGAGCTCCTCTCACCTTGGTTTTGAAGTGGTGACATGGTCTGGGGGAATTTAGGACTCACAAACCTTGCATTACTGGTTTAGACAGATACTTCCTCAGTGCCTACCGTGCCTAGGGTCAGCGCTGCCTAGGGTCTGACCATAGTTCGGGGTAATACAGGTGACAGACACAAAATCGAAGGGAGAAGCCGGGCATGATAGTGGACACCTGTCATCCCAGCACTCTGGGAGGCCGAGGCAGGAGGATCACAGGTTCTAGCCCAGCCTGGGCAACTCAGTGACTTAGTGAGATGCTGTCTCCAAATAAAAAACTTTTGAAAAGCACTGAGGATGGAATGCAATGTGAAGGCCCTGGCTTCAATCCCCAGTACTGCAAACATAAAATAAAGAAAATAAAAGGCTGAGGCAGGAGGATCGCTGTGAGTTCGAGACCAGCCTGGGCTACGTAGCGAGTTCAAGGCCTGGCTGGACCACAGAGCAAGACCCTGACTCCAAACAAAACAAGGAGGCAGAGATGCTCATCTCTTTCCTGCTTTAGCTGCCCATGGGGCATTCACAGGCGCAGGACTCAGGTCCCTGTCTCAAGAGTGCCCCACACCGCAGGGCCCGGGGGGCTCTTGGGTGGGCGATGTGGCCTCGCTGGGCTCCAGCAGCAAGACCCACGTCAGAGCTGCCCTTGCTGCCCTCTGCCGCGGGGACCCCCGGGACCCCAGGGTCTTGACCAGGGCATCATGTGCCACCACCTGTGCCCAGCACCAGACCAGCCTGGGGTCACACAGGGCCCCGCGTGGGTGGATGGGACATAACAGGATGCCCGGTGGAGACAATGGCAGAGGAAGAGGCCGGGCAGCCCCGCACGGATGAGCCCCCAGCAGGCGCAGGCTCCAGCGGGGCGGCCCTGCTATTGTCAGCGTAGACAGCCATCGCCGCCAGGAAGCTGGCCGGAGCGCCGGGCAGGAACGGGCCGCCCTCACCCGGGCTTCTTCCGGGCTCCCCAGCCTGGTGCCCCGGGTGTGCA